CCAAAGAAGCAAATGAACACAGTGGTTGAACACAAATGGCTGCACAGATGTTCTGCCCTTAAAAGTGTGTCTCAGTGAAGAAAAGATGCAGGTAGAGGTTTGTGCAAGAGAGATTCAGAGGGTTTGGAATAAAAGACTTTGTAAATAAAGTTAGTGGCTATAAGAGCATATTGTATTTTAAGTAACTGGATAACGGGAGAAGGGGGGCACTTTCTACTAACTAACTAACGGAGGAGGTAAAGGGGGGCAGGACCCTTTTGGCCTTTAATAGAACTGCTAACCGGAGAAGGGGGACGCTCCCAGTTCAGACATACAAAACCATGGGCTTGTTTAAACAATGTTTAATGTGATAATGTGACTCTATATCGCATGAACTATAAATAGTTAGGGTATGTCAGACCATGATCTGAAACTATGGTTTGAAGGGTTTTGTTTGTTTGTTTTTTAAATTAACCACAGTGAAGCTTAACAACGGTTTCTGAAATATACTAATGTTAACAGCAGTGCTCCCTCTAAGCTATGGAGTCCTGTGAGCAAAAATTCTACTTTGTGAGCCACTGGCATTAAAGTTGTGAGCGAGCGATTTGGCGGCTGCAGAAATGAGTTTGCTCTGGAGCCATCCTTCCTGAGCTAAGACAAAAATGTGTGAGCCGGGGGCTAAAAAACTGTGAACTAGCTCACACTAACTCAGCTTAGAGGAAACAATGGTTAACAGTATATATTTTATTCCAAACTGGGCCATAGAATGTGGATTAATAGATCAGCGAAATGGAGCTAGATTTTCTACAAATCTAAAGAAAGACCCAATTTTCCAAAAAAAAAAAGAAAAGCCCAAATCTTTTGAACAACGGGGCATTAAAACTCCCCAAAATAATAGAAACACCTGTAGCTTTAACAAAAGACTGTCCACTGAGCTTTCAGTTGCCATTTTGGATGTTGTTCAAGAACTACAACAATATTGCTGGGTTTTCAAAGTTTCCTAGGGAGATGCTGCCAAGGGAAGGGAAGGAGGGAAAGCTGAAGGTGGGAACCAACAGAGATAGGTTGGCTGGTGTATGGGAAGAAGATAAGGAAGCAGGAAAAAGGTAGAGGCTTTGGGGGCTACCAATGAATGGAAAGAGGAAATAGTGGGGTAGGGGATACACGGTGAAATAAGAAGTCCCTGCAGGTCCCCTGCTTGTCCCAATTTAAACCCTCCTTGTTCCCTGACACCATGCTTCTGTCAGGGTCCTTAGTCAGGTTACGCAACACAGGGCTTCATGAGAAGATAACTGCTTATTGGTAAATCTGGTACTAGAGACACGTGTACAGCTTGTGTCAGGAATGGCCGCCAATACTAGGGCCTCTGACTTATACTAGAATCAAACATCCCCCCTGTAAGCATGAGCCAATGGATACATCTCGCGCACACGGGCAAAGCAAGTAGGCAAAGCAAAAAAGCCGTTAACTTTCCCAGCCCAGAAAAGCTGCAGCTGTGGCATCTACAAGGTCAAGCGTAAGATAGCAACAGTTGGTGAGCCAGGGAGAGCTGAGACAGAAAACGGGAGGGCACCCCTCCACATTCCAGACTTATGACAGGGCTAAGTGACAGCTTCCGGCAGTGCAAATGGGGATACCAGCTGGGTTTTTGTGGCCGAAAGAGCAAAGGTTGAAACAGCAAAGAAAGAGCAGGAGCTGAATCCTGGTTTCACAAAATAACCACAGTTAAAACTAAATCATGGTTTGATAGTATGCAGAGCTCCCAAGTACTTACCTTAATTCAGCGGGGGATATATAGTTCTTCACGGGACCATTCCCATGGGGGAAACACAGGCGCTGCACTATTCCATCACCCAGATGTGATGTAGGCACGTAGCCGGGCGACACTCTAGCAATGGGTCTGGAAACTCGATGGTACCATCGAGTTTCCAGCCCCATTACCAGAGCGTCGCCCAGCTACGTGCCTACGTCACGTCTGGGCGACGGAGTGCAGCGCCTGTGTTACAAGCAAGACTCTTCCGGCGGGGAAGCATGTGTCCCCCGCCAGTTCGTAGGTAGGTACTTGGCAACCCTAGTAGTATTTCCGGTGAAACTTACTTAACAGATCAAATGAGAACCAGTAGAGAATGATCATGTCCTCTTTGGCCAAACAGAATTAAGGGGACTGGATGCTGAGCCTCCATGAAGTTTGGAGAGCAGAAGAAGAAGAAGAAGAGATTGGATTTATACCCTCCGGCCCTTCACTACCCAAAGGTGTCTCAGAGTGGCTTGCAAACTCCTCTCCCTTCCCCTCCCCACAACAGACACCCTGTGAGGTGGGTGGGGCTGAGAGAACTCTTGACAGAAACTGCTCTTTTTCAAGAACAGCTGTGCCAGAGTTATGGCTTGCCCAAGGTCATCCAGCCAGGTGCAAGTGGAAGAGTGGGGAATCAA